CGTGGCCAAACATCTGTCTCGCTAACATGAACCGTATATCGATAGCATTACGGACGCTACTCTCAATCTCGGTGGTTACAGCGTCGCTTCTGTCCTGGTGTTTCCTCGTGCAGAATTCGGGGACGCCCAAGCCCTTTCGCAGAATAACACAGGCAAGTACTCAGTCTGGCGGGTTTTATATTACTCTTGAATTGATGGACAGGTCATCTAGGGTGTCTTTTATGCACTTAGGTCCGAAGATCTCCGGCGTGGAGTTAGTTTTCCTGTCGGCGTGGCGGCGTGGATTTAACCTAAATTATATTCCTTGGCGTAATGAAATGGAAAATATCTAGGCACATGCGTTTTTATCTTTACTGTTTTTTCAAGCTTTTAAGTTGAACGCAATGCACATATACATAGTCGTTTGTTTTATTCCTTTACAACGCACGCCCCCCCCCCCCCCTACACTCTTTGCGGTTGTTTTTTATCACTTCCATGGCTATAACTTGGGGTCGTACTTTATGAAAAATTACTCTTATCGGGAACGTTGGCGTAAACTCGATGATCTATTGGCGTATCTCAGGTGTGAGTTTTGCACAGAATGCACCCTGAGTTGTCATGTGTCGATAATAACTAATGTTTACGATTTTGTGTTGCTTTAGTTATTGTTTAAAGCATTCTTTACTTGCTCATATTTTTTTGTAAACGAGCTTTAAATTAAGTAGAATTGAAGTTGTTCTGGTAGGTCATCAGTGAATTCATTTAATAAAAATATATTGCCCATCGGGATTGATAGCACTAACGACGATACGATTGATAGGAGAAATGAAAACGGTCATGGAAATAATCACAGATGATGATAAATATGGAAATGTTGAAAATGATGATGATGTTGATAGAGATGATGATAATGATGATAGAGATGATGATAATGATGATAGATAGAGATGATGATAATGATGATAGATAGAGATGATAATGATAGATAGAAATGATGATAATGATGATAGATAGTAACAATAATAATGACTTTATCGTCTCAAAAAAACACAACAGAGACATATACATATCACTATTCGAACTGTCTGCAAATTCTACACTCGAGTTTCGTGAGTTCATTACCTGGCTGTGAGCTCGCTATAAAATCGTTACTCCCGTAGTTACTTGCTAAATAAACACGTGGTGATTGGGTCTGGCTTGCCAACTTGACCGGTGTGTTCTGGGGAAACCGTGTTTATTTTTAGGATCCATTTAATCATGACTGAAGTGTTATAACATGAATATTATTCTTTTTTTTCTAAATTATTCTAACGTGTTTCCTTATGAAAGGAACACACACACACATATATATATATGTGTGTGTGTGTGTATATATAGTTTTTTGTTGCAAATATTTTCCAAGTGTCAAGAACTAAGTGATTTATGTTTATTATCCATACGACTTAATACTACCTATATTAGGATGGGTAATTACTTGACTACGGTTTTATGTTGTTTGATTGTTATATCTGAATTGTTATATTAGATCTCACAGAAAACGTTGATTTGTAATGGTATAATACGCTGCAGTGCTTCCGACATGTGTTTCTGCAACCTTGCCTGAGCGGTGAATAAATGCAGTAATAGGAATATATTATTTAGACAATTTAAACGATACGACTTATCATCTTATATAGATATTAATTTCATTCTCAACTTTATTGCTGTTAACGTAATGACAGTGTAGTATATAAGTTTCACAATTAGGTACGTTCTTTACACCTGCAACGTAATTTCTATAAAGTAATGGATTTTGCATGATATTGCAACAGATATCTATTGCCATATGATATTTATTGAAATAGATAAGAATCAAGGAATGGAGACACGGGCCTCTCACACGAGAACAGTATTTCCGTTGTCATTATCAGCCCCCCCCCTCCCCTCCCGCCTCCTCCCCCGTTTTGTGAAGTTCCTGTCCCTTATCAGTAACGGACCCCGATATGGTCTGTTCTCCTCCCCACCACAATAAATCTTGCTTCAATTCGCGAGGAAGAGAAATTTTATTTGTAGGGAATGGACTCGAGGAAAGTGTAGCAAAGGAAGAGAAGAGAAGGGAAATGGATGGTTTTCTTCTGGTTTTAGCTTTAATGCGAGAAATGCAGTTTCGAGGAACTTTTAATAACGCTCGTCTACTCGTATGAAAATGAAAATGATTTAAGAACGGTCATAGATAGTTGAGAAACTCCAGGTGTTTACCCTTTATATATCATGTTTATGGTATAATACAGTAAACACAATAATAATCATTCATCGAAATATCCATGAATCGATTTATCGTAGACTGCAATAGACAGTAAATTACTCCAGGCTATTTTCGCACGCACAAACTGCAGAAATCTATATGATGATTTTGCAGACAGTACAGAGCAGAGGAAAATACACTGCTCCATATCTGGGCATTCAGTGAGTGCGTGTTGACAAGCACTGCCAGGGGGTGACTAATGGTGCCTTTTAAATATTTTAAAGCGTCACGTGTTTTATGGTTGCGTCTATTATCGTTACATTTTAGGTCAACCGTTTCAGGTAACAACAATGATAAGGGATTCGGAAATGAACTGCGATTTCTACAAGTGTTAAAAACTTAAAAACTGTATTTTAACTGTTACATATTTTTCTCTATTTATGTATGTATCTCTTTCTCCCTCTCTCTCTCTCTCTCTCTCTCTCTCTCTCTCTCTCTCTCTCTCTCTCTCTCTCTCTCTCTCTCTCTCTCTCTCTCTCTCTCTCTCTCTCTCTCTCTCTCTCTCTCTCTCTCTCTCTCTCTCTCTCTCTCTCTCTCTCTCTCTCTCCCTCTCTCTATCTATCTATCTATCTCTCTTTCTGTTTGTTATTCTTTGGCAATCGAGCACGTGAGTTGAACTTTTTCTTAGTAGTTTCCGAAATGTTTCAAATCCAATTTCCAATCTCCATACTGTGACGGAAATCGGCCTCAATCAAAGTACATAAATGAAAATAGTAATAATAATAAAATAGATAGATAATACAAAACTGATGTAGGACTGTGCGATAGTTGACTGCCCTGAAGCAATCGATATAACCCACACGTGAAAGACAATAGATAATAATCTTACTATATCTTTTTTACTCAAAAATAGGTGCTTGAAATCATTTTGTTTGTCCTCTTCGGGTTTCATCTATGATCAAATCTATAAATTTGTGTCTCTGTTATGATATCTCTCTCCCTTTCTCCTCTCTTTATATCTATCAGTCTCTCTGTCTTTCTGTATATCCATATCTAATTATCTATCCATCCATGCATCCATCTATTTCTTTCTCTCTCAAGGGAAAAGCAAACACCAATCACATACGGAATCCTTTTCTCGTTCTTAAAGAAATATATTCACAGTGAGTATATCAGTCGCATATTCAATTCACGATTCACCTGAAAAGAAAGGGAAAAAAAAAGAAAAAAAGAAGAAGAAAAGGAAAAAAAAAAAAAAAAAAAAAAAAAAATATATATATATATATATATATATATATATATATATATATATATATATATATATATATATATATGTGTGTGTGTGTGTGTGTGTGTGTGTGTGTGTGTGTGTATTCTCTAATCCAAAAACCAAGTAAACAAAAATTCTTTTTCTTTCTTTCTTTGAATATTTCTTCGCCAAAGACGGCTTCTGTGATCGCTCCAAGTGAAGACGCCAGTATACCTTATCCCCTTAGCAACGACGCTGGAATAGAGACACGAACCTACACTATACCTGGATGTCCGTGTGAAAGGTAAGAGGAGAGGGACTTCTTACCTACGTCCAGCCATGTAGTTTGCTTTTTTTTTCAACAGCCGGATAGGAAAGGGTGGAGAACTGAAAGAACACGATTGGAAAGCGAATCAAGGAGAGATTGAAAAAGTGGGAAGGGTAAACACACTTTTTAGTCGTGTAGTTCGTTAGCAAGGGAAGTCAGGAGGGGGAGAAAAGGGGGGTTGGGGGAGGGTGAAGTCAGGGATGTCATTCAGAAGTTATAGTTAAGGGATGCAAAGACCTTTTTTTCTTTTCTTTTCTTTTTTTCTTTTCTTTTTTTCTTTTTTTTTTTTGCAAGTTGCTAGGGGAAGTTATGCTCTGCAGTTTTGGTAACTTGCCAAGGATAGGTATTGTTGGTTTTTGTTTTCTATATTTCTTCGTATTCTATCTATATTTCGGAAGAATATATAGTGTTCTGGAATCGTTCTGTTACGCACTCTCCCTTTTTTATATTGTTTTGGATAGTTTTTGCATATTTTAGATTACGCTAGATTTGTCAGTAATGAACAGTAACATCATGTTGGATTTCTTTTTTCAACAAAATCCAAAGAGGTTACGCAATAAAACTAATTTCCATTGCAATATTCGTCCTGGAACTAATTATGCAGTATGATTGATACCAATAATCTTTACACAGTTTATTCTTATAAGCATGACATTTTTTCAATCATTCTGCCAACAGAATGCTATACACCCTTATTCCTCAGTTAATTATTTATTTTCTATTATCTACATAATTTATTTCTATCTATTTATTCATTCATTCACTTACTATTTTCTCTATATTTTCATTCTCTATAACCTATTCATTCTAATTCAATCCATTTATCCATTCACATCCTCCATTTTATTCCTCCTTTAAACACACTCGTAGGACCGGCTATGCTATCGACAGCCTGCTCTCAAGACGCAACGAATCTCGAGCGAGACCTGAGGACTTTCCCGAATGGTTCCTGAAGAAGTTTTCCTTCGAGGGACATTCCACCTGCTCGGACTACGCGACACAGCGGGGCGGCGGTCAGCGGGTGGTGTCCTACGTGTATTACGCTAAGGGAGGCAGATCGGTGAAAGGTATGGGGCTGCTCCTTTTAAAGAGAGAGAGAGAGGGAGGGGGAGAGAGAGAGGGAGGGAGAGAGAGAGAGGAAGAGAGAGAGAGAGGGAGAGAGAGAGAGAGAGGGATAGAGGGAGAGGGAGAGAGAGAGAGAGAGAGAGGGATAGAGGGAG